AAGGCAAAGAGCTAGAGGATGGTCGGGACAAGGCTTCATAGGAGCAATAGAAGGAACCTGAAGGGGTACAAGTCCAAATTCGGTTATCTGGCTTAGAAGGATCAAGAAATACATCTTCCAACTTTTGTAGTAAGATGAGTACGTTTTGGAGTTTAGAGTCTCTTATACCCCTCCAGAATCCCAAATCTCAACTGAATACGTTGCTCAAATTTGAAGGAACCATGAATCAAGAAATGGTCTCATTTTTGGGCCAAGAAAGTGCAAATAATGATGGAAATTGTTCCTTCAATGAGGACCCCAACAAATTATGTTCCCAAAATTTAACTTTGTTACCACTACAAAGATTGTAGCTGATAAAAGGAGAAAAGAGTGGTAGTACTGCATTGAGGGCTTTCCAAGGAGAGGCCCAATTTGCCCTAGCCGAAGTTCTAGCATCCTGGTCGTTGTCCAAGAGCCTGTGAATGCTCACTATCACTTTTGCCCATGGTTTATCCCTATTTTGCGGCATTCTCCATAGCCATTTCCCCAAGAGATATGTGTTCCTCCTTTGTACATTACCTATTTCCATCCCTCCTTACTTTTTTCCCCTACTAACCACCTCCCAACTAATCCTATGGTTCCTCTTCCCTTCCCTTGGTTTCCTGTAAAAAATCTCTTATTAGATTCTTTAATCTTTTACTCGATCTTACTGGGATCTTGAAGATAGACAAATAATAAATTGGTAGATTGGAAAGGGTTGATCTAATCAGTGTTATTCTTCCACCTAGGGAAAGGTATCCCTTTTTCCAATTGGCTACTCTCTTAGAAAATCTTTCTACAATTGGGTTCCAAAACCCTACCTCTTTTGGATTCACTCCTAGAGGTAATCCTAAATAAGTCAAATGCCATTGAGCAACATTGCATCCTAAAATGTTAGCACACTCTTTGACCCCCCCTCCTCCATCCATATTTATTCTAGCTATGCAACTATTATCAAAGTTGATTTTAAGATTTGACATTCTCTCAAAAAGTTGCACCAAACATTTTAGGTTCCTAACCCAATCTAACTCATCTCCCTCACAAAACAAAATGGTATCATTTGCAAACTATAAATGAGTTATTGGCATGTCATCTCTCCCACTCTCCATCCCCGAATTAGACACCTCTAATCAGCTCTTAAAATGAGTCTATTTAGAACATCCACTACTAATGTGAATAGAAAAGGAAAGAAAGGATCTCTTTGTCTAATTCCATGCTCGACAGAGAAGAAAACTGTCTTTGTGCCATTTACTAACACCAAGTAGTGACAAGTCTTTAAGCACCCCCAAATCCATTTGTACCATCTCTCCCCAAACCCATATTGCCTTAACACCTCAATCAGAAACTGCTAGTCAACCAAATCATATGCATTATCCCAATCTTTTCATTTCCTCCACACACTCATTTGCAATTAGTATTTGCTCAATAATTTCTGTCCTACACAAAGGCACCCTGATTTGCCAAAACAAAGGAGGGGAGAACTTGCCTGGTTCTTAGGGATAAACCCTTACCAATTATCTTGTACAAGTTGTTCACCAATCTTATTGGTCTGAAATCCATGGGATGATTAGCTCCACCTTTTTTAGGAATCAAAGCAATAAAAGTAGCATTCAGACTAGGATTAATAATTCCCCTTTAAAAGAATTCCTTAAACACCTCCAACAAATCACCCTCAATTATATCCCAATAGTCTGATAAAAGGCCATGGTGAAAGCATGCGACCCTAGGTGGCTATACCCTTAGAAACTGGATTAAATTGGGACTTAAGGTTCAGAAGGGCTTGAGAGACAATGAGTGTGATTCTCTCCTTGTCCTTTTGTCAAAGTAGGAAATGGTTTACTTGGACCAAAATGGCCTTGATAGTAGAATTTGGCATCCAGGTTCAGATGGCTTGTTTTCCTGTTCTTCTTTCTTCAACATACTTGCCTAGTTGGATAGTGTGGGGATAAATTTCCTTGTAAGAGAAATATGGCGCAAACCAATTCCTCCTAAAGTACAAGCTCTTTGCTAGGAAATGTTCCTAGGGAAGGTAAACACTTGTGATATGCTATAGAAAAAAGGCCAAACATGTGCCTTTCTCCTCATGTGTGTGTTCTTTGCAAGGCTTGTGGTGAAACCCTTTCTCACTTCTCTCCTGCTCATTTGTTTCTTGTATTTAGGACTATTTCTGTTCTCTCTTTGGTTGCAGATGAGCTCCCCCACAAGACGTAGTGAGCCTTTTCAGCCAAACTTTCTTGAGGCAACAAAAGATAAGGGGAAGGAAGATGTATGTGGAAGGTAGTACGTGCAACTAGGGGTGTCAATGGTATTCGAAAATCCGATTTCGAATTCGAGATTCGATATAATTGAATCGAATTTGAGATTTGATATAATTGAATCGAATTTAGATAATTTGAATATTTAATCGGTTGAATTCGGATACGATCTGATTCGATTTGATAAATATCTGAATTCGACCGATTATTTAATTCTTATATATAATATATAAAATTTTTAAATGTTTTATATATTATATATAATAATTAAATTATATAAATAATTTATATATTTATATGCTTTATATAAATAAAATATTTATTTTATATATTTATTAATTACCTAAAATAATTAATTAGTCGAATTCAAATCAAATCGAATATTTGAATATTTAATCGGATTCGAATTTGAATATAAATTTTTGATATCCGTCGGGTATTACCTGATCCAAATCAAATTCGATCCGTTTACACCCCCTACGTGCAGCTGTGGTTTGGTCTATTTGGGAAGAGAGAAATCAGAGGATCTTCAATAAAAAAAGTAAATCCTTAGAGGAGGTTATCGAAGTCATTAAAATCAGATCAGTACATTAGGTTAAAACCTTGGAACTATTCAAGAGTGTTCCCATTGATGACTTCTTAAGAAATTGGAGAGAAGTGGCACTCTCAGAACTACATAGAGAAAATATAAGAATGGAGTGGAAACCACTAGGTTTAAATAAGCTAAAGCTAAACTTTGATGGTAGTTCATTTGACAATCTAGGAAGAGCATGAATAGGGGGAGTTTTTCAAAACCATCAAGGAGTAGTGAAGGCCTTGTTCTCAGGACCAATTGGTTTTGTTGATTTGGTTCAGGCTGAATCAAAAGCACTGTTGGTTTAAAATGTCCCTAATTTCCCTAATATTTCCACGACATATTTCCATTTCCATGGGTAGCGACACAAAATTTTACCAGAATTGACATTTCCTCAATTAACACTACCAACACTATGTGGAGTACAACAAATAGTTTCCACAACATTATTTCCATGTCCACTTCCATGGGTAGCGACATTAAATTTTATTGGAATCAACATATTTCCCAGTGAACACTACCAGTATTATGTGGAGTCTAAGAGATAGTATTATAACATAAGTTGGTACAATATTGTAAATATGTTAAGTAACAATTTTATTGTCCGCCTAACTTACATGATTACCACTTTGAGCTAGCTCAATATTTATTTCAAACATTAAGTTAAATATTAGTTTTTTGTTTGTGTAATAGATTATTTGGTTGATTTATTACAACCTTTTACATTTTCTATGAGTTAAAATTTTGCTTTAACTCATTTTATCATGAAGCTCTGAACCTTAAAGTTTACAGGGCAACTTCAGAACGTATTCTTTTGTCTATAATCTTAGTTTCTTAGCTTTGTTTAATGATTTGCACCAAGATAATAATTTAAAAAGGTGTGCCTGTGCTTCTTTTATCATTTCATAAAATATCATTCTATATTTTGCATATTTTAAAATGTTTCTACCATGTGTATAATTTTTACAATATTACCATACAATATTTTTGACATGTTTCTTATATTTGGATGACCGACATTTCCACTGATATCGACATTTTAAACCTTGACTGTTGTAAGGACTGAAGCTTGCTGAATAATTAGGGCCATGGGAGTTGGGAATTGAAGGAGACTCCCTTCTGATTATAACATGGGCAAAGCAAATTGAGTCAGCACCTTGGAAACTCAGATTCACTTTCGGACAGATTGACCAACTTGAAATGAAATTTTACTCTACTTTTAGATGGGTTAAAAGGGAAGCTAATGGGTTGGTGGATGTGTTGCCTGCAGGGAGCTGATAGACCATCCTTATTTTGGGCATTGTTGTAACCTAGTGCTTATGGGATTTGTATACCTGTGACTTAATTTCAAATATTTAAATTAATAAATGAATTTCTTTGCTGGTAAAAAAAACCATGTGGCCCTGACGTCTTGGATCTGGCCATTGAGAATACAACTTCCTTAATCTCTTTCTGATCAAAGGTCTTTCTATCCAAGCTTTAGCTTCCTCAGAGAGACAAGGCCAGTCCAATCCTTCAATCCCAAATTTTTCACCAAGCATCCTTCTAAAAATTGATTTTAAATGTTCCATAAAGGCTCTAGCAATCTCCCTGGGTTGAGTGACCACCTCACCATCAACTTCCAAACTAGACACCAGGTTCTTCCTTTTTCTACCATTTGCCAAGGAATGAAAGTATTTGGTGTTCATGTTTCCCTCTAACTAATCTGTAAAATATCCTCCAGCTGCTTCCTATCTCCCTCTTATTTAATCTTTAATAAAATACTTTTCATTACTCATAAAAAAAAGCCATTAAATTGGTTGCAACCTGTTCCTTAGTGGCTCTATGGAATTTGGGGGTGATTACTGTATCCCTAAATATTTTATTACATGACTATTTTATTCAATAAAAGATGAAGCAATAAGCAGATCAGTTCAGCCACTTGGGGTCCAAAATCCTCCAAAAGACCATGGATCAATTTCTCTATTTTATTGTTGATGTCACTTATCATCAATGGGGTTATAATCAAATGCATCATTGTAACAATAATACTGATAGGTATGGGGGTTTAATAACTGGCTATAATGATTTTACGATTTCTTTTATTCAATATTTATACTTATCAGACTTTGCTTTTTAATGATTTTTTTTTTTTTTTTAATTTTGTCTTATAGGCCATGATGGATGAGGAGATCCCCCCATCAAACACCACAGTCATCAAAGAGGCTCATCCAGAACCTGAGGAGGGCACAATTGATGGAGTAATTAATTATGTTTTTTCTTTAAATATTACTGTTTTTTTTAAAAGTACCTTCATGTAAATGGTGGTTAGCATATACAAGTGCTAATAAGTGTCTGTCATTAGATTCTAAAAAGGTTAAGAAATATTGAGGCTCAACTGCAACAATTGCAACATCTTCAAGCCCTTGAGTCTAAACTAAAGAAGCTAGAGCAATTAATAAGCACACAATTGATGGAATGCAAGTCAGAAATGCTCCAGGGGTTCACTTCACTGTCACTCCAAATTCAGAGATCTTCTACAATGCCTGAAGCCAACATGACTCATACCGAAGAGGCAATCAATTTCCAGGTATGTAATCAATTTGGCAGGTATTCTCCCACATACAAAGCAGTGCAACCTGAATGGGCTGGGACGGGCTGAAGGCCAACCCAATCCTAATCTTGGTAATTGAATATAAGGCTTAGTTCTATTCTCCCATACCTTATCATTGTCCTCTTGCTCTAGTTCCAAGGTTCAAAATTTCGATACTTATCGGGCCGTATCTGTTGTTATGTATCGTATCAGTGGCTTCTCGATACACCCCTACAGTGGGTGTTTCGGGGTCTGGCCTGGTTCACGGGGTAGATGGGCCTTAAACTGACCCCTCTGAACCAGTTTGAAAGAAAAACTAAAAAAAATAAAAGTGAGTTAAGATATGCCCCAACTGACGTATTGGCCTGTATCGATATTTTGAAACTTGTCTAGTTCATTTCTTATGAGGTCTTTGAGCCTACTTCCAATCATATTCCATATTTTTAATCCCTCTTCCTCTTACTCTCACCCCTAGCCTTCCTAACTACATCCACCCTATCATCAGCTTGTGGCAATGTGGTTTACTTTGATCCTGGAATAAGAGCCATAGACATGGAGCAACAGTTAGTGGCTAAAATTGGTTTCACAAGTTTACCTGGTTCCAAGTGGGGAGAAGGCACAGGTTGTTTTTCCTTCTCAGGGGTATGATCCATATTATTCAACTTGCTTGGTGTGTTAGCCTGGGAAGGTTCAAGGGGAGAAGGCACAGACTGTTTTTCCTGCTCAGGGGTATGATGTGTATTATTCAATCTGCTTGGTGTTTTAGCTTGGGAAGCTTCTATTGAAGTATTAGCCCACTGACCACTTTGGCTTGTCATTCCACCATAACTAGGAAGCTTCTGTTGATTATTTGCTCGCTGACCACTTACTCTAGCTTGTCATTCCACCATAACTAGGTTCTTCCTACTCAGCCTTGAGCTAGCTGAGATAGAGGTTCGATGATCTTCGATTTGGGAAGATGATGGACCAATCTTCCGGTCCCCCATTGGTTCCTCCGTGGTTGATCTCGTGTGACAGATAGACTTGACACATGAACTAATAAGCTCCAACTTGTAGGTATTTTCAGGTGACTTCACCACTTTATTACAAAAATAACCACCAGGCGTTGAATGGGACTTAGCCATGCCTCGGTCCATATTACTTTTCTTTTGATTTAGGCCCTATAAAGGGTTAGAGTTAATCCCTCTTCTAACAGCTTCTACATACATGGTGTGAACCCCCCGGTTTGAAATATTTTCAAATTTCTTTAAACGGTTTTCCATCCTGTGTCATCCTCGATCTTCCCCCGTCATCAATTGTTGGCTTGCCATTTTTAACTAGACATTCAAAATTTTCCTTTTTTGTTCTCTTCGTGTTTTGTCAACACCCACACCCTCATCCAAACTCCACCCGTGAAGACGTCCAATGTTCTAGGAACATCCTCAGTTTTCACTCTAGGGATTATCAACTCTACTATGTGGAGATTGGAGGTATTAGAGGATATAAGAACACCTCAAAGCATTATAGCAATCTTCTCAAGGATTTTTTCTAGAGATTGAAGGGAAGTCCCACCAATTTAATACCAAAGGAACTATCCCTCAGTTCCTTGCTAATTTTTTTTTTTTTTTTCGCCAAGTAAAAGTAAAAAAGAAACTGAATGCAACCTCAATGCAGGTATTAAGGTAACACCCCCCAGACCACACAACAAGAACAACAAAAACAGAGAAAGTGAGAGAGCACATCATTTTTGCAATTCATCTCCTTATCCTTTGGTACCTCCTTAGGAGAGACCTCACTCGAATCAGACTCATCCCTTACAACTTTCTCTGACAAGTCCAGATTGATTGACTTCTCCTGGTTAGAACCATCTTGATGAGGCTTATTTCTGATCCCATTGGATGAGAATGAAGAAACCGAGCAAGATTTCTCCTGACTCGAAGGACTTAGTTTAATCCTTCTTTTGTAGATCTTTTTATACTTGTTGATCCCGCTCCCACCAGGCCCTCCTTTACCCTTGAGAAAACTTTTGTGGTATGCACTACATTGAGTTTGCTTGAATTTCTGGTCTTCTTTGGGATTTCCAAAGCATCACTATTTTCTACTACACTCGCCTCTTTTCCACTGCAACCCAAATAAACTCTCAGCCTTCCAACAAACACTTCCAAGACCCAGTAACCGGTGTCAATCCTATGGCCCTCGACTTGACTTACATTCTATAAGTCAGAGACCTTCTTGCCCTCAACTTTTGGAAGACCGTCCCTTTCTTCCCTATCCTCCTCCCTCCTCCCTCCTTCCAAACCTTATGATTGCCCTCCACCTCCTCTACCCCCGCCTCCACCCTAGCTGTACTCATAACCCCTACTCCCAGATCCTTCTTTGAACTTCCTCCCTGTTAACTATAAACAGAGTCCCTAAACTCCTGGCTTAACTCCAGGCACGACGAGAGAAGTTTTGACTCTTTCTTCTCAACCCCTGGAATGAGTGCCAGAGCAGAAGAAAAATCTTCATCACCACCTCCTTGAGAACGCTCCTTAGATCTTGAAGGAACTTTGAGATTGAAATGACAAGGCTCAAGAGTTCGATCATCAGAAACATCAGCCGCCGGAAAACTGGTATTTGAGGCATTCTGAGGAGACCTTAACTCTGCCCCCTTCTTGAAGACTCTTTTCTCAACTCTCCCCCTTCGGATTCCAAGAACATCTCCATCTAAGCTGCTGGTCCCATGCCTCTTAACATCAGACCATTTTTTCCTTGAAGCATGGTCCCCACTATTTGTATTCTCCAGATCCTTATTTGAGAAATTAAAAACTTTCTCGGAAATGACCCCCTGTTTGAAGACTCCCACCACGTGTGCCTTTTCACAAAAGAACTCTTCAGATCCTAGCTACAAAAATACACTTTACCCCCCCCCTACTTTTCCTGCATCTACCCTATAACTTCCGCTTGACCCTCCAACTCCCTAATCTTTTGCTTTCCAACATCTTCCTCCTCCCGACTTGCATTCACAGGATCAGCCAGCACCCTTTTTACCTTTGCAGAGCAGTTTGACTCCTCGATTCGATCAAGCAAGACCATTGAATCTTCTTGAATCCAACGAAATGGGATACAGCCTTCAACCACCAGCCTCAAATTGTACTACTCTCTGGCAAAGTTAATGCTCAGGGGGATTAGATGTACTACTTCAACCAGGATTCTTGCTGCCACCAGATTTTTTAGTTTATATGTTTGGGCATCCACTCTTCTAAAGCAACCACAGGCATTTCCAATGGCATGAAACATATTCTGGTTCCAAGCATGGAGCGGAATCCCAAGGACGTTAATCCAGACAAGACTCTTGCTCCTGATTTCTCTAATTGCCCCCACTAGCGGATTCCATCTACCCAACCTGAGTTCTGGCGACCTGGACTTTGAAAATCCTCCATCCAGAATTTCATCTTCTTCCTCCTTGCTATGGAAAATGAAAAGAAAGAACCCTGCATTTAACTTTCTCACCTGGACATCCTCTTTTGAGCTCCACTCCGATTTGACCCATCTTAAGACTTCCTCTACATCAGGTTCAGAGTTAATGAATCGCCCTACCAAGCACTTCTCTAGCCAACGTACCCTCTCTAAAGTGCCTTTGCTCAAATTAACGTAGATATAGGATATAGTCTTGCTCTGGACAAAGGTTACACCTAATTCAGTTTCAACAGTAAAAAAATCCACTGCTTTGTCTATACCAACCAGAAGGGCACACCTATCGTCAAAAGGAAAAACAGACACTTCGGATTCAACTTCGAGTTTCTTCTTAATTTCTTCCATGATAACTCCCCAATCATTCACCTCCATTTCTGCTTTCAAGACCTAAATTTTCTCCCAGCTAACTTTGTTTTCCTGTAAGAACAGCTTCTGTATTTTATTGGAGTTCAGTAATACAAAATCCTGCACCTTCTCTTGCACGCCTTCCTTCAACCCGCTTTGCTGCTCCCAGAATTGCTCGAGTTTTCTTTTGACTTCTCTTTGGGAATTCTTGAATCCTTCTGTTCTATCCTGCACTCACTCAAAACATCCTCTTCCTTTTTTTAACAAGAAGCTCTGCTGCTTTTCCCTCTCCATCATCCATTCCCGACCCCTCTTTCCTTCTGGAAGGCAAACTAGTTGCATCTTAGTATTACCAAAAAATTATGAAACCGCCACATGCCACTCCTTTTGATTACATTGCAGTTCAACCTGATATCTCCTTCTGTTCATTTCTAGAGAGCTCTTCCAACCCACTTTTTTGACAGAGAATACTGCTCCGTCGATAAATCCTTTCAGCCATCGTGTAGCTTCACCAATTAGGTAAATACTTTGTCTTACTGCTTTTCTAACTTTCTACGAGGCTTGTCCTTTCCTTTTTTCTTCCTTCAGTAGCATGCCACTCCTTTTGATTACATTGCAGTTCAACCTGATATCTCCTTCTGTTCATTTCTAGAGAGCTCTTCCAACCCACTTTTTTGACAGAGAATACTGCTCCGTCGATAAATCCTTTCAGCCATCGTGTAGCTTCACCGATTAGGTAAATACTTTATCTTACTGCTTTTCTAACTTTCTACGAGGCTTGTCCTTTCCTTTTTTCTTCCTTCAGTAGAAGCGTCTTTGCTTCAATCACCACTTCTTTCCATCTTGCGGCAGAATGGAATAATCTCTCATTACCTCGGACTTCACTCCTCAGCTCATTCTGTTCCATTCCTTTGATGGGATACAAGCAATTACACACCCTGATGAAGATCTTCAGGCTAATGTTGCTTCATGGACTTTTCTTGGCATCACCAAATTCACCCTCAGTATTCTTCTTTTCTACTGCCTCCTTCATTGAACGCTTAATACTGCGCTTATGGTGGGGTACAAAATTTACAGCTCAGAATTAATTTCATGGCACTAATCCTTTGGGTCTTTTCGTTCAAAGTGAAATTAATCTTTGTTTTCAAAGGCTTTCATAACTATATACTGGCTATGCATTTTATTGTCTACAGACAAATGTGGTGTTTCCACATGCTTCAGATTTTCCTTCTTTCACCGAATTGGAGAAAAAAGCAATTGTGTATGCTTTATTTAACCCCAATGGACCACTTGAGTAAGTAAATATAGATACCCAATATTATTGTTGTTGTTGTTATTCTTTATTGTCACATGTAGCATCAAATATTCCATGTAACAATATCCTTTTATATAGTGAAAATTTGGTAATTCTATGGACGTCTCACCTAACAAGGTCGGAGCTTCTCTGCATGAGGGATGATAATCGGGTTTCTAGTGCTGTAAGTTGTAATCAAGACAAGTTAAGGTGATTTATTTGTATATCTATATAACAAGGAGTTAAAATAACAAGCTTCGTTTATTGTGCAGGTTGTGAATTGCATGGTGGATGTACTAGTGCATAAACAGTTAGCTAATGGTTTGGTAAAACGTCATTACTTTCCCACATATTTTGCGGTAAGTTTTCAATTCATGCATATACTAAATCAGTAAGATGACTTACCATGTCTTATCTACCAATTTTCCTAATTGTAAATACAGGAAAAAATTCTAAAAGATGAACCCCCAAGTCTAGAGGAGTCAAAAGCTTTTTATCAAAGTCTACTTAAATATGATCTATTGCAATGTGAATTGGTATGTCTTGGATAACCCACACAATAAATCAATTAATTTGAAAGTACAACTAACTATAACATTTTGCATACAGTTATTCATTCCCCTTTGCATTGACTCCCACTGGTTCGTATATGTCATAAATCTAAGGGACAAGAGGGTGGAGGTTCTTAACAGCTTACCAATGTCTGGATTCACTATAGAGCTCAAGTATCTTCCTAGAATGGTTTGTATTGCCGTAAATATTGTTTTAAATGTTCTTGTCATCACCTATTGCTATGTGCTAATCAAAGGTTGGCTTTGATTTCTAGAAAGAAACTTGTAACGAAATACTGAGTAGCTTGAGTGGAAGACCCATGGCAATTACAGAATGGCCTGTGCTACTTCCTGAACTTCCAATTCAAAAAACCAAGTAATTGATTCAATAAATGAAGTATTTATTATTAGCTTTGGCATTATTAGTAACTATAATGGGTCAGGCGCAAATGGTTAAATGGTTGCTGTTATTGTAACAGTTATGATTGTGGTATATTTGTGCTATGTTATATGGAGTATTGGGATGGACGATTAATGAAGTCCTTTGCACAGGTAATTGAAAATAAGTTCCAAATGTTTTCTTTCCTTTTATCCTTTAATTTATGGAATTTTTTTTTTCTTGAACAATTATATTTGACTTAATATTGTTTAACATATTCAAAATATAGGATGATATCCCATACTTCCGCATGAAGATTATGGCCGATCTATTGTTGCACCCAGACAATAAGGTATTTAAAGCAATTAAAAATGATTAGTTTTCTCTAGTCTTCTCTTCATGTATCTCACAATTTGAATCATGAAATTGGTTTATTCATGATATATTAAATGGAATCAACTAAGAAAACTGTTGTATTTTGTGTCTAAAAATTAGGCCACTTTAGATGAAGCTTCTGCAATGTAATGATTTCTTTTTTTCCAAAAATGGCTGAACTGGAAAAGTACAAAGGTAAATATTGTAAGCATATTAAATAGTAAGGGCTAGCTCTAATCATAATCAAGGAAGTGAAGGAAGTGACAAGAACCTATTATCATTCCTTTTGAGTTCTAGCATCTGTCTTAATGCTGGCATCCAGAGAGTCTCTCCAGTTCATCGCAATGATCGCATTTGGAGTAAACCAGCCGATGGCATATTAAAAATCGATGTCAATGGGAGCCTCTCTTCTATAAGGTGCTAGAGTTGGTATGGTTATAATTAATGCTTATGGACGTTTTATTATGGTGAGAGCAGTCAGTTTCTGTTGTTTTGACCGTGAGGAAGTTGAAGCATGAGCCTTTTTTTTTCAATGGATTGCTATTTGCCAAGGAGTTAGATCTTTCAGCCATTTTTTAGAAGTGGATTCACAAAATTAGTGTCTTTCCTGTTAGGAATAGCTCTGCTATCCCATTGCGGCTATGAAAATGTTTAGCAGATTGCGGAAATCTATTATCCGCTTTTGATGTTACTACAGTACGTTTTGCCCTTTGTTCTTGCAATATGGTTGCTCATCTTCTAGCTTGGTCTGGAGCAGTTAAACAATGTTTGTTCATTTGGTCGACTACTCTTTTTGTTCATGATATCATTTGTAAGGAGGCTTGTACTGTTCCATCAATGAATTGAATGCTTCCCATGGGTTACTAGGGATCAATTTGTTTTGGGCGCAATTGTAATTGTACTTGTTGCTTGTGAGAGATTGCATCTCTCCTTGAACCTTGTAGTATTTCTGGTTTATTTTCTTTATAAAATTCTTCATTTACTTGTCAGAAAAAAAAAAGAATCTTTCCTATGAAAAACAAGGAACTTGAAATGACTACAAGGGAGTTAAGTAGATTTATGACTTGAATTATTTTAACTTGCAATCTCATTTTGATGGTGAAGGGACTTATACAGTGAATGTTAATGATTTGAGCAATCTGAAATCTGTTTTTTTTTTTTTTTTTGTGTGGATTTTATTGATAATTTTTGGCTGTCTGAAATTAATATTGCGTGAGGAGCTAAAACTTGGATTAGTGATCAACTCGGGTTGGGTATAATTGAGGAAAACGTTTGATAGTCCTTTTGTTTCTACGAATGGTTAAGGGATTTTTAAGTCTACTAAAGCTCACGTAATTCCAAGATGGAACGTATTGTGGCATATTTGAATTTTTCTGAATTTTTAAGACCCAAACCCTTAGGTTTTTTCAGAGTTGGCTTTTGGAACTGCATGTTTAGATCTCATTAGAAAAGGGTGGGAAGTTCCTATTACTGGGTTTGCTAGGTATCTAATAAGTTTTAAATGGGATATTATTCAGAGTCAACTCAAAGTTTGGTGATGTAAATAAGAATGTTGAATGGATTTTTTTTGAACTGTAAGGTAAAATAATTTCATTTATAAATTATAAAACCAGACAACAATGAAAACCCCTGTACAAAAAAAAAGCTCCTTACAAATACAACAAATACAAAGAGTAATAGCAGACTTCTTTTCTTTGAACAGTTTGGAAGGTAGTTGCTTGTTGGAGGAGAAGTAGGCTTGGCTGGAAAGGGATTTTGATGAGCAGGAAGTCAAGGATGTGGTTTTTAGTATGGCTGGAGACTGGGCTCCTGGACCGGATAGCTTTCCTTTGTTTTTCTACCAATTATGTTGGGATACAATTATGTCAGGCTTATTGGATGTGTTCAAGGATTTCTTCAATTCAGCCATTATAAATAAAGGCAGCAACTCAACCTCCATTATCTTAGGCTCAGTTTGGAAGGAGTACAAATACAAATATGTAGAGTGCAAAACCTTGTATTTTGTATTATTTTGTATGTGTCTACTCTGTACATATTTGTATTTGTACTCTTTCCATATTGAGCCTAATTCTAAAGAAAGAAGGTATCTTGGAAGTCAAGGACTTTACCGGTAAGTCTGGTTGGTAGCATTTAAAAAATTGTGTCTAACGTTCTATCAGGTAGGCTAAGGGAGGTGTTGGGAGATTTAATTTCTAACAATCAATATGCTTTTGTAAAAGGAAAGGAAGTTAGATCATTGATTGAATTTTAGTGGCCATTGAATGTGTTGAATACAGAAGACAAAGAGGCAAGATTGTAGTGGTCATAAAACTTCATTTGGAGAAAGTGTATGATAAAGTTGACTGGGATTGTGTACTAAGTATCTTAGAGTTAAGAAGTTTTGGATAAAGATGGATGCATTGGATGAAATAGTGATTCAGCTCTGCTTGGTTCTTGATGCTGGTGAATGGAGAGCCTAGAGGTTATTTTCAGGCAAGTCAGGGTCTCAGGCAAGGCTACTCCCTCACTCCCTTTCTCCTGAATTTGGTTGTAGACATTCTCAGCTACTTTATTGAGAAGGCAAAAAGCCTCAACCTGCTGAGAGGGTTTGAAGTTGGAAGAGAAGCAACTCACTTGTCCCATTTGCTTTTTGCTGATGACATCATTCTATTCTTGGAGGCTTACCTGGAAAACATCAACAGTTTAAAAAAGGTAATTACTTGCTTTGGAAGGTGTTGGGATTCCAAGTAAAATTTTTTAAGAGTAGCATAGTGGGAATAAATACAAGTAAAAGTTTGGTAAACAGTTTTAAGGGGGTGCTAAGTCATAAAGTGGAGAATTTTCTTATCTCTTATTTGGGAATGCCTCTTGGGGGGAATCCAAGAAGCCAAAGCTTTAGGTACCAGTGGTGAAGTGTGAAAAAAGATTGACCACATGGAAGAAAGGTTACCTTTCAAAAGGAGGAAGACTCACCTCAAGGCCTTCTTGGCTAATCTACCCATTTATTATCTTTCGGTGTTCCAGATTCCAGCCAAGGTCAAAAATAGAATTGAAAAGCTGCAGCGGGACTTCTTTTGGGATGGGAATGGAGAGAAATGGCTGTGGTGTTATCCTCTCGATGCAAAGTAGGGAATGAGGCTAAAATCAAATTCTGGATTGACCTTTGGTGGGGAGAAATCACTTTGGCTTACAATTACCCCCGCTTGTTTAACCTCTCCCAAAACCAAGAAGCTACCATAGCTTCCTGCATTATCAGTCGCCCCTTGTAACAAGTTGGAACCTAAACTTAAGAAGACTCTTAATTGATGAACTTGCAGATCTGTTACATGCCTTGAGAGAGGTCAATGCTCCCCCTCAATCCAAGACCAATGAATTTGGAAGCTCTACCCTACCGGTAAGTTCTCAACTAAATCCTTTTTCAGGGCCTCGGTGTTGGGTGATACAGGTTCTAGGTTCCCTTGTATAAGAGTTTGGATTGCCCACATCCCCCTTAGGGTTTCTTTCTTTTCTTTTTTTTTTTTTTTGTGTGTTTGTAGGAGGCTGGCTTGAAAAGAATAAACGCTTGCTATTTTTTTTTTAAAGCACAAAGGAAGGTTGTGCTTCTCGCCATCTCCCCCCCATGTCTGCACCCTTTGTCTCAGCAATGGTGAATCAGCTGGACATCTTCTTTTACATTGTTCAGAAACAAGGAAGATCTGGTTCATTGTTCTGTTACAACTGGGTTTTTCTAGAACATAATGAAGATTTTTTAAGGCAATGGAAAGGAAGAAGTTTAGGTAAAAGGGGGAGATTCTACTTTGTTGAGAATGCTTGGGCAAGGGTGTTTTAGTCTTTTCATCATCATTTTCTATTTGGGTGCCCAAGTATGGGCTTTCATGTAATTTCTCTTCAAAATATAAATAGTGATTTTGAGGGTGTGAACAGTAATACACACATCTCTTCAATACCTCTTCTTTTCCTTCTCTCTTCTCTTCTTCTACAAACCCTAGATCTACAACTTGGTGTTAGAGCAAGTAGAGGCTCTTAGGAATACCTTTTCTACTTATCCTCTCCCGCAAAAAGACCTGCTGACGTCAGATCATTATCAGATGATATCAGCAGTTTGAACAGTTGATGGCAACAATCAATGAATTCTACATAGTTTGATTCACCCTAACTTTAGAGGGTTTTTTTTGTACGACTTTTGTAGCTGTTTGAAGCTTCTATGATTTTTTGTGGATTTTTCAAGAAGAAAATCACAGAATTTCTAGATCTGATGTTGAGCCTTATACAATTTGTTTAATGGGGTTTTCTGCTACAAAACCTAGACCATTTGGGACGTTTTTACATTTTGGGAGTGATAGAAAGTGGTCTCGTAATTTTCTAAGCCCTATACAATTTTTGGGAGATTTTCTTCTCCCTTTTGTTTTGTCGCTAACTTAGTTTTTTGGCCTCTTTTTATCTCTTAATCGCGTGGTGACCTATTTTCTTGGGTCTTTAGCTTTGGTTGAGTATTGGGGATCCTTTTGGTTGACGAGAAAGTGTTTTAGTTGAATGTGGAATCATCCAAGGATGTATCGATGGTTTCTAGTGTGCTCCTGAGAAATGCAGATATTTCCAGTGGTATGACCACTGTTAAACTTGATGGAACCAACTTTTTTGGAGTGGTCCCAATCTACTAAGCTTATTACCTTAGGGTGAGGTAAACTGGGATTCATTACAAGAAAGAAAGTAAAGCCAAATCTTGGAGATCCGTAATTTGCAAAGTGGGAGCAGGATAACTCCCCTGCAATGTCATGGTTGATTTTCTCAATGCAACCTCATATTGCTTGTAGCTACATGTTTCTTCCAACTACTAAAGATATTTTGGAATAGGGTTCCCTATTCCCAAGTTAACAATATTGCTAGAGTGTACCAACTTCGAAGGGAGTCTTGCGGTATGTGTTAGGGGGAGAGATATGTGGTTATGTATTTTTCTTTTCTACAGTCTATTTGAGAAGAAATGGATCACTTGAAAGC